TTTTTTTTTTTTTTTTTGCTCTAAATGGATGCAGTTGTCATCACAAAATGTTTCAAGAATGAGTCCATCATATTTTCAGCTGCAGCATTATGCCCTTTTAAGTACACCACTAAAAGCAATGGAGCTTTATCTGCTTAAATTGAAGTCTCTTACCCAGAAGGACTTGACATAAATATTGATTTCTGAAGACAAATAACAATTTTCAACTGTTATTTTTCCTATTTGTTCTGGTCTTGTATTTTCCAATACAATCAGTTCTCAGCTCATTTGGTGTTAAAGATCTGACATTTATGTCTCATTTTGGACTAGCATTTTGTGTCATAAAAATAACTTAATATTTCCAATAGATACTTTTTGTAACATTCTATTGTAACTTTCAATAAAGAAAAAAATCCAAGAAATTTCATATCTGATTTTGTGCTGATCTTTTTAACTCCGAACATATACACTTGAAGTATTCAAAATTGGCAATGAACTGGTTAGCTTGCCCTATAGCTCATGAAGTAAAACCAAAAGAGACCATTAGATCACTTAATCCAGCCTCCTGGCTATCACAGGCCATTATATTTCATGTCAAGAACCATGCATTACATCAAAAGATGTTAGTTAAATCAAAGAGCCAGAGAAGAGGAAGGACCACAATGTTACCAATGATCAAGGCCCCTGTAGTGGGACGTCCTTAGATCCCACTGGCTTGAGAGTGCAATTATCATTTCCCAAAGTAGGAGAGAAATGAGTTTTTAGTTACATAGGATCTATCACATATACAGTCAGATACCTTGAAATGATTCCCAGAATAACATACATGGACAATTCTCTTTATGAAATGGCATGCTTATACTTATCTTTTACAGAAAGTCTGCTGTATAGTAAAACTAAAATGATATGTTCAAACTATAATGTTTGTACTAACATGTTATACTAAGCATCCAAATCTCAGCAAAGAATACCTAGATTATGGCTCAATGAGCAATTTATTACAGTTAACCATGTAGAGAAAATGGTTTGCCTCTTCAGAACTTTTCCCATTTGTAATAGTTCTACTTTAGCAGACAATGAATTGAGGAGAATAAATGAAGATACTTTACTTACTGCATTATCTCCCAAAGCTGTTTTGATGCTAAGCCGCACTTTGAAAGCATTCTGTGCATCTGGCACAAAGAAGGAGAAAACAAAAATGATTTAGAAATCATCCTGGAAAATTAATGTAGTCAAAATCGTCCTAGTGTATCTGAACTAGTTGCATAAGTGGGAGACCTAGATGTTCCTAGCATGGACACGTCTGGACCACTCAGGATTCTCCATGCAGTTTTAACCATGATCTCTTCAGAAATGACCAAGATCAGCTTTACTAGTTAATCTGCAAACTCACAAGAGAGGTAATGGCTCAAACTGTACATTCCAAAACTCTTTTTAAAGGGCTAAAAAGCACATCAAAGAAACCGGCAGATTTTAGAGCGTACACCAACTTGAAAAATGTAATTGGTGAAGGATGAAGCTCAACTGCAAAACTTACCTGGCCTGCAGAATTCTGCATGAGCTGTGGTAACCAGGGAGAAAGCAAGCAGCAAAAAACCCTGCATCCTTTCAGAGTGGAAAACTTGAGACAAAAAGAAAAAAGTCACCACTGTACAGCACTCTTAAACTTTCTGTGACCCAGGATTAAAGCATCAGCAGCACAAGTGAGCAAGCAAGTAATAAACAGCCAAGGTTTAATCATTAACCCCCTTTATTTTAGCTAAAACGAGCACTGGAAAAAAACCATCTTCTGTCAAATGTTTACTTTTTTTCTCTTCAGCAAAGACAGAGATAAGAAGTATTTAATTTTCTTTCTCTGAGTTCCTTCCTAAAGCAATAAAAGCACTTCATGTACTGTCTGCAGACCCAAGGACCTCACGTTGTTTTCAGTCATGAATCCCAACATACAGAAAAAAAAAGCTTGAGAACAACGGTACTTAATGCAAGGCTGACTTGATAGTCTAATGGCTGTGTGATGTGCTGCCTCTCAGAGGTTGTGAGTTTTCACTGGGATCCCATTGTGCAATGTCATAGATTTCATAGACATTAGGGCTAGAAGGGACCTCAGAAGATCATCAAGCCTAGGGGCAGAAAGTCAGCTAGGGTCAAAGGATCCCAGCAAGATAGATGTTCAAATGTCAAAGGCATTTCACTGTGATGCCACTGTGCAATATTGATAATTTCTGAATGAAGCTATAATGAGGCTTGCCTAGGAGACCAGTTTACCTTGACAAAGGCCCTATG